GCTTAGGGCTTAGGGGTTAGGGTTTAGGGTCTGGGACCCTCCAGAAAGAAATGCCCCCGGAAGCCCCCCCCAAATCCCCCAAACAAATTTAGGGGGGGAAGGACCTGGGCTGAAGCCAAGGCCCTTCAGGCCTGAAACCATTATGGGCAAAAGGCTTGAAGATGTCTAGCCTTCCAGGGCTGAACCTAGAATGTAAAAACTTCTCCCAAGAAAGCTTGTGATTATAGCGAATCTCCAGACAGACCTACTAGAACAAATCGGGCTTGCCCGCGGGCTACCTATCACGAAATTTTTGTTGGGGGCCTTATTTTGTAATGAATCCAATAAGGTTTTAAATGGAACTGGACGGGCTTAGCTCCGGGTTCGGGCTCTACGGTTCCTGGAGCCCAAGGGGCCTCAAGGTTTGAAACTTTTAGACCACAGACCCTTACAACATTCCCCCCGAGAAAAAATGATTGTAGCAATTGACCCCAACAAACTGAGTTCAAAACCCTAAACCCTAAACCCTCAACCCCTCAACCCCTCAACCCTAAACCCTAAACCCTACTCTGAATACTAAGGCCCCCCATATGTTTGGAGCCCCTCAAGGCTGCGGCCAGCAAAGGCCAGGTCCAGACTCGCCGGCTTCTCCTCCCAAGGGCTCCGAAGGGAACTCCCAGAATTTCTGCGCTTCTCTTCGATAGATCCAAGTAGGGGAGTGTAGGGGTTTTTGGGGGCTTAGGGTTTAGGGTTTAAGGCTTAGGGGTTTAGGGTTGAGGGGTTTAGGGGGCTTTAAGGTTTAGGGTTTAAGGCTTAGGGGTTTAGGGGTTGAGGGGTTGAGGGGTTTAGGGTTTAGGGTTTAGGGTTTAGGGTTAGGTTTAGGGGTTAAGGGTTGAGGGGTTTAGGGGGCTAGGGGGTGTAGGGGTGTAGGGGTTTAGGGGCTTAGGGGCTTAGGGGTTTAGGGGTTTAGGGGCTTAGGGGTTTAGAGGTTTATGGGCTTAGGGGTTTAAGGGTTTAGGGGTTAGCAAACCTGCTCCAAACCCTGCAAATTAAATCGAGGAATAGGGGCCGATTTGCTCGGAACAAAGGCTTTGGGGATTCAATTCTGCTTGGAACTCAAGGAAACCCTCTGCTTGCTCTATACCGAAGTACAGGGTTTATTTGGAGATCGTCGGCAGAATACTTGCACAGAGCCCCGCGGCCTAGACTCTAGAGAGAAGCAAAAGAACATGATGTGAGTAGCCAATACCAAGGACGATGGGTAAGTGGCTGAGGTTTATATTGGTTCGTTTGCGTCCACGGGTTGCATGCTGAGCTGCACCTGAACCCGGACTCAAGTTGTGAATTGAATAGAAACTTACTTTCTTGGTCGCGTGCTCACTGCAGTGTGCTTTTTTGGGCAAGACTCTCCTTGATTGCGCTCTGCAGGCGTGTGGCTTGCAAAGAGCTCCGATCCTTCTCCTCAGACTTGGGCTTCGGTTCCCACCAGCGTGACACTTGGGCTCAGGCTTGAACCGTGGGACTCTTATCCGCGTATCCCTCAAGCAAACCCTTAAACAAGCCGAGCAACGAATTCGGCAGTGGCCTGGGAGAGCATTCTCAGGCTGTCCTGGCGAACACAACGGAGGCTACTTGGCCTGAACCCTGAAGCCCTGAAGCTCGGAAAAACTCAAAAGTCAAGATTCGTGCTCCTGCAGTCTGGACTTGCTGAAACGACCAAAACGACCAGCGGCTGCCAGTGGCTTCAGAACATCAAACGCGTCCGCGCCACCGCGTTGAACGTCGCGGAGGGCAACTTTGGGGATGCGCTGGGGACCTTCGCCCAGAGGCTCCACGGCCCTACAAATAGTTGCAGTGGCCAGCATCTGTTACTGTACCTTTGGCAATTTGGAGTTGAAAGGAGGCCTTGACTTCAGTACGTAAAGCACTAAACCAGTTCAGCTGCCGAAGGGCTGCTCAGAAATGGGGACATGGCATCACGCACTCCCAGGCCAGCTCATTGTTCGTCTTACTTCTTGCACATATGCCGTAGTCTCCCAAGATTACACCTGTGCCCGGAACAAAAGTTGTGTTGAGGCCAACCGTACTCAACACAAACCCTGCACATCTGCCCGATCCTAACGTTTAATCCCAGTCTCCATCACCCCTCCCTGTCAAAAGTAGCAAGTGCACCAGTACCAAAACGAGCATGCCTTCATCCCCGGCACAGCTCAGCAGAACTTCCCCGTATCCGAATTGTCCGAACTAAGACCCTGACATCCGATGATACAAGAGCCCTAACCTGTCAAAACATATGAGCAGCCCCTGCACCCAAAGCCCTGGAGCCGGAGCCTTCACACTTGCAAGCCGCTGCTCGGCATCCGGATGCCCACGTGCACCAGCCTCCGGAGACTGAAGTGAGGCTATGAAGTGCGGGGGGGCGAAGTGATGTGTTGAGAGGTGTGTCGATTCATTATTAGTCGAGACGTGACTCGATTGAGAATGCGATTTCACAAGGAGCTGTCCCCAGGTCTCCCCTTGTGCTGTTTGGCAGGACCGATGGCTCAGCTCTTGCTCATGACATGATCCTCCTTATTAGCTAGGCTTGCTGCTGGCACGGCTTCAACTTCAAACTGAATCTAAATAAGCAAGGGGCTGGGAGGCCCCCGCCTATCTGCAAACATGGCGCGACTGATGAAGATGGGGCCAGGGACCAAAGGACAGGGCGACCAGGGACCGCAGGACCGAAGGGAACGGGATCACGGAGGGCCGCCACACCCAGGGAAAAACAACATGGGACCCTTCGCTGATGCTGCCACCATAAACCGAAAAATGCGAGGCACCCAGACCGTCCAATGACTCGCAACCGCGTGCCTCAAGGTACCACCTCCTGCAACATCGGGCCACGGCCCCTGAGTCCTTCTGGACGCTTCAGCAAGCTTAAACCCTCTTTCTTGATTGATGAGCACATGATGCAGTTGGTCTGTTTCAGGGTATTTCAGACCATCAGACTGCGGCGACATCGAGATGATTCCCTTGTGGAAGCTCAAACGCAATGGGGCAATGGAAGCACCAAAGAACCCTCGCCATTACAAGGTTCAGCGAGTTCAGGGGGGTTCAGAGTGTGTTCAGTGCTGGGGGCGTCCTCTTCCCTGGCAGCACAGCTGCCTTCCAACTGTAATCGCTCAACCTCGCAGCGTGGTGCTTCTGCACTATGCGGAGCTTGACGACAGCTCATCAGGGACCTACCAGTCTGGCCTTGCACTCTCTTTTCGCCAAAAAGAACATTCCGAACTGCACAGATGCACGGAAGGCGCCGAAGGCCTAAACCTAAACCCGAAAGCCCTTGAAAGACCTGATGAGCCAAACGACTCCAAGCGGGTTTGTGTTCTGGGGCCCTCTCTCAAAACCCCGAATTTGGGCGCCACGGGGCGTCCCCCAGCCAGAGCGGCGCCCAGGCGCTGCCGGCGCTCGTGGCAGCACCTTTGTCAGTTCGGTCCTCTGGACTTGCTCTGGGTTCATCGGCCGGTTTGGGGACACAAGCCATATGGGGGGTGCGTAGGCAAGAGTTGGGAGTTCTTCTGTTTGCAAGGTTTCAGGTCTGCGGAGTCTACAGTGAGCCTGTTCTTGGGCCCGAAGGCTCAGAGGTCTGAAAACGAAACCTTGGGCACAAGGCAGGATGAATCTCATGAGCCTGGTAGAAAGCTTCAGGCAACAGCACCACCCCCGGCTCAGGCTGCGACGCAGTGCGCGGAACATGCGCGGTGCGTCCAGCGTGCCTGCTTTGCAGGTGTCGGCAGGTCTCGGGACATAGAGTTGCGACTTGCTTCACAAGGCATCGCCGATTTCATGTGCTGTTGACGTGAAGAAAGCTAGTGCAATTCTGCGAGACTTGAACATGACGCACGTACAGTCTTAGACCCTCCCTGCCGGCGCCTGACACTCCGCCGGCAATCAAAGCTTCGGCCAAGTGTGCCTGCACGACGGTGAGCCGAGTTCTAGGACCTTCGCACCTTCTCGTGATTCGGGTAACCTTCTAACTGCTCAAAAAGTATAGTAGAAAGTATAGAGTATAGTATATAGTACAGTATATAGTATATAGTACATACTACATAGTACCTAGTACATACTACATAGTATATGGTATACAGTATATAGTATATAATATATAGTATATCGTATATAGTATGTAGTATATAATAAATAGAAAATAGTAAAAAGTACGAAAATAATTAGTAAATAGTAAATAGTATATAGTATATAGTATATAGTATATAGTATATAGTATATAGTATATAGTATATAGTATATAGTATATAGTTTAGTATAATATATATATATATATGTATGTATAATATATAGTATATAGTATAGTATATAGTATATAGTATATAGTATCTAGTCTATAGTCTATAGTCTATCGTCTATAGTCTATAGTCTATAGTCTATAATAGTATAGTATATAGTATACACTATATAGTACATAATATATAGAAAATAAGAATATACAGAAAGAGGCGCACGACGGCCTGCATTTTGCAGGGTTGGGTTCCGTGCATATCTCCTTATGATAAAGTTGTATATCGTATATAGTATAGTATAATACCGTGCCCGGTCGTTCCGGAGAGCCGGCTCCGTAAGCCTCCACTATGCAATGATGCTCAATGGCCCAAAAGCTCAAAAGCTCGGGGTTTAAGCTTGGTGTGGGACTACAGTGACTCTAACAGTTACTGCGGTCTACAGGCATAAGAATTGGAAGCTCCGGGCTACGGCTCTCAGAAACGTTTTTTGAACCCCGAACCCCTGAAAATCTCTGACTCCTGCACTGCAGGACCTTCGCTCCTCGCCTCCTTGTCACTCCGGGAGAAAGTCAGGATGATCTCATTGTCGCTTGCCACAGCCTGCGTGCGCGGCCCTGGCTTCTTGGGCTTTACGATGATCTCAGGCTTCGGGGCCCTGGCCCAAGAACAGCCTTAAACCCGGCCCAAAACTAGCCTCCAAAAGCCGCGCTGGTGGGGCTTGAGGTTTCAGGGTGCTTCAAG